CACTACCATCACTATATCTGGAATCTAGCACCTAGATTGCCATGAACTTTTTACTAACAGTCACAAAACCCACCACTAAAGACCAGTAACTGTATAAAACTCCTTTTATTCAAAAACTCTTATCATTTCGTAATTGCAACACCCAGTATTAAAAGAAAATAACCAAGACTAAGACTTTCATGTTATGAAAATTTCACAGGCCTGCTTTAAACCTTAATGCTGACGTAACCAATAACCATCAACACTTACCACAGACATCACACACACACACAAAAAAATTCAAGACAGATGTTTATTGTCTCCAGTAAATGCTCCTAAGAATGTATCTGTCTAATGAATACCACCAAACAGCAACTTGCTACCATATTGACCAACTTGTGGTTTATATAAATCATACACTGAATAAACAATAATCACCATCTATTCAATGATCATCATGTACCATGTATGAGCTAATTACTTTATAAACATTATTTAACATACTCCTCATAAACACTGTCAGATTAGCTCCATTTTATAGATGAAGAAACAGAGGCTCAGGGAAATCAATCTGCCCAAAATCTCAACCAGGAAGAGGTCAAGTCCAAGCCTGGCTGGCTCCCAAGCCTATGCATGCTCTCTCCATTGCACCACACTGATTTCTATCCTTCTAGTCTGCCTGTGTTCCACCTGCAAGTCTATGTTACACGGGAGGTAAGCAAAGGGCCATACCTTACATAATTCACAATATAGCAATATTGTAGATGTCAGACACTCTATAATGGTTTTGTGTTTTGAAAATTGTAACAGAACAAAGGAGAAGGTACTCTAAGAAAAATCTTCCCATTTCTGAAAGTGACCTTGCATCACTTAACACAGAGAAGATCCATCTACCATCATAACAAGTAACAAGTCACGGCTTAGGAAAATTTAAACATTTGTTTCCTCTGGAAATGAATTTCTAGTCACATTACCATGATAAATAAATCTTCAAACTGGTTACAAACCAACTTATCTTGGTATTCCAGGGTTCATATTTTCTTCTGGCAGGATTAGATACATCCTAAAGTATACAACTTCAAAGGTGTGATCCAGATTAGAAAATCTAGAGCTTCCAAAATGATACATTCAACCCTCAAATGTTCATGCAAGCAGGTGGTTCCAACTCAATATGGGAAAGTCAAATTCACAGAGAATTCTCCAGTTGTATTTTAAACAAGTGACTTAACTAGAATTTTATTCTATACCTTAGTTCTGTTCACCTATTGTTAATAAGTTATAAAATGGCAATATAAGAGTATTCCAGAACCTCAAATTAAAAAATTTGAGATAAACTAAAATTGAATAGACTTTCAAAGTAGAAAGTAAACCCTTTGCTTTATAAGAAAACAAGCCCTTAAAAGTATACTCGACTAGAGTTACTACTGCCTGATAGCTAAAAACACTAACCATTATGGCCAGGTAAAACTTATTGCCTTAAATCTTGATGCCTTAAACCTGCCACTTAGCAGATGTGTAACTTCTGGCATGTTACTCTGAGCCCAGTTTCCTCAAATGCAAAATAGGAATAATCCTTACTCCAGCAAGGTTACTACAAGGATTATTTTACACGTTTAAAAGTGACTGGCAAGAAGCAATTAACTGTTGTTACTATTATTATCAAAAAAGTCTTTGGGGAAGCTCTTCCAAGATTATCATATAGTCTTGTCATTCCAAATTTGGCCCCTCATTCCACAATTCAGAACTGAAGTAACCAATTATTAAATACAATCACCGGTGAACATCTAAGTGGCCTTCAAATGCTTGTTCTTAAACACAATTCAAATATAAAAAAGGATACTGAGGGTCTTGCCCAAGACGTTATTAATTAGCTAAATAAGCATCACCAACCTATCTAAGTGGGCTTCAGATTCATCTTCCGTAGCATGAGACTTCGCCGCTCAGGCCCTACAGTACCTACTCTAAAACCAGTTCTAGTTCACTAATAAGCTTCCTAAACAAAAAATAAAACCAGACTATCACCATGTGGCAATTCACTACTCAAAATTTTTATTTCCTTGATAGGAAAAAAAAGCAAAAAAAAAAAAATTACAGACGCCATAACATGTTGCCCTTTCCCATAAAAAGCTAAAAATTATTTTACTGTTACTAGATGTTTGAAGTCTATCATCTCAACCCTCAAAGCAGTTCTTCAGATCTCTGAGCCATTCATGTAGCCGCTCATCACCTCTGCAGACACTAAAATGGTAGAATACTTACCTTCATCTCAAAAGTGATGAATGAATGTATTAGAACACTAAGTAGTTATGACCCCACTGAATTACTTCCAAGAGAGTGGCATAACAGTTAACCCTGAAACATTCCAGATCAACACGGAATAATGATAATCTCCTCATGAGCTCGAACATAAACACCATATGTGTTCTGTGATTTGCACACATTTTGGGGAAAGGCTACTTAAATTATGGGTTTAAACAAGTTGCTATTTTCTGCCTAGCACATAAAAATTTCATTGGAATTAGGGACGAATTTCCCAGGAAGATAAGGCCAACTGTTTGCTGAAAACAAAAATTAGTAATTTCTTCTCACAAGTTGTCATTTAAAGATCTTCATTCTTTTCTTTTTCTTGTTAGGAAAAAAAAGACTTGTTATAACCCAACTGTTTTGGCTGTTGTCGCTAAAAAGAAAGTTGATATGAGAATAGTCCAACTCCTGGGGATCCAAAGAACAGCACTTGTTGGATTCCTATCAAACACTTGAATCAAACACCTCAATATATTGACTTCAAATAACTAAAATTTGCATTTGATCAAATAAATTTTGATCCAACAAATGAAGATCGTATTCTTCTGGATTAGCAACAAATATCTCACTTATCTCAGTTCTTCAATACAGAGCTCAAGACTCATCCAGTGATATATCCCAAAAAGTAAAAAAAAAGCAGAATTTTCTGGGAAAATGATTTTCGTATTATCAAGGAATGAGTTATCAGTGACCTCAGTGGCACCTAAAGGATACTTACGAATTTGTATGTAGATATTCAAAGGTTAGCTGAGCTCGATTCAGACTACTGTAATTTGTGAAAGCCATGAGTGCGGTGAGGTCTCCAGTCCTTCACCCACTAACTGGGAACTATAACTTTATAATGGAATAGATTTTCCAGGATTCCTCCCAGTAAAGGTTTGGTTAAGTCTGTGCTCCTTACTGTTAAACAAGGTTAACTGGTGTCTATCCAAAATATATTGAAAGAGATGTCTAAAACTACAATTGATCTCTCCAAGCTTTTTTATCTTCTTAATGACTATGATGTAACTATGATGTAATATTCTGAAAAAAACTATGTCATAGGTTTGTAGTCTTAAGCTTTAGTTTAAGTTGCGATAGTTCAAGGAGTCGAATGTGGACGGTCTTGGAGTAGACAGTATTGGACTTGAGAGGTTTTATTACTGCTCCATCTTCACGTTCTTCGAGCTTTTTTGTTCCTCTAAATTTCCGGCCAGGAAATTTATCAATCCGGAAAGCTACCAACTTCTGTCATAAAACTGGACAGCCACCCATGTCTTCACCAAAGATCCTGTGATTCTTAAAGAGGCCCCAGGCTGGCGGCCACGAAGTCGACGGAGTGCATATGGCGTTAGTTCCCGCTTCACCACCTCCCAACTGAAGTCTCCTAATCGCTGACGGCGATTTCCGTTTCGAAAGCCCAGACCAGACCTAGCTTGTGGTCCCGGCGCAATCTCCTCAGGGTAGTGGGTCAAATTACCTCACACTGACCCACAAAAACGCCTCAGAATTGACCCGCCCAAATCACCTCAGGCGGGGAGCGCCCCTCCCCCACTTCCCTCAGACAGAGGCCTCCGGCTCTCAGGCCCTTCCAGGGCCTCAGTCCCGAGGCCGCCGCCTCCTCCTCCTCACAGAGAGGAGTTAGTCCCAGCTTTCAAGGCCCGGATCGAGGGCAGGGTGGCGAGCGCAGCACCCAACCCGGCGTTGCCGGGTGCTCAAAGCTGCCTTTGTCCCTCCCCACGGAATTGGAACCCAACAACCGCAGCGCGCTCTTGGAACCATGTGCTGCCTCCGCCTCCGCCGCTGCCGCCGCCGCCGCGAGACCAGCCGCCCACGCGCCGCGCTGGATGAGATGACAGGACTCAACACCACAGAATTCGTTGTTTATAGGTGTTCTGCCGCCGCTGCCGCAGCCGCCACAGCCACCTCAGCCACTGCTTTGTCTCCGCTAGAGCACACAACCCGAGCCACCTCGCGCACTCCCCGACGCCCCAAGCCCCCGAGGCCTCCGCGGTGCATTAGGCCAATCACAGAGCCACAGCTCCTCCCGCCCCCGCCCTGATGCGACGCCTCCTGATTGGTGGGTAGCGTGTCTCCACGTGACCGGATCTTGTTAGCCGGGCCCGCCCCTGTCACGTGAGAGCGCGCGCCTCTCTTCCTGCTTTCATGACCCTCTCCGCCATTTAAAGAAACAGTACCGGGGGCGGGCCGAGCGACGCAGCCGGGACGGTAGCTGCGGCGCGGACCGGAGGAGCCATCTTGTCTCGTCGCCGGGGAGTCAGGCCCCTAACTCGAAGACGCCCTGGCGCGCCCTCCCCCCCTCCCCGGTCTGGTAGGGCGAAGGAGCGGGCGCGCGGTCGATCGAGCGATCGGTTGGCGGCTCTTTCTCCTGCTCTGGCATCCAGCTCTTGGGGCGCAGGCCCGGCCGCCGCGGCGCGCGCCCGGTGGCCGTTGGCGCTCGCGCCGCGTCTTTCTTCTCGTACGCAGAACTCGGGCGGCGGCCTATGCGTTTGCGATTCGACGAGGAGTCGTCCGGGTGGTTGGCGGCGGCGGGCAGCTGCTCCGCCCCGCTCCCGGGGAGGCGGCGGCGGCGGCGGGATTTGGCGCGGCCGGGGAGGCGGGGGTGGCCGGGGCCGGCGTGGAGGCCTGGCGCCACCCTTCGGGGCCTGCAAGGACCCAGTTGGGGGGGCAAGAAGGGGCTGGGGGATGGTTGGTGGTGGGCTTTCTACTTTGTCTTTTCCTCCTCATGCCCCCTTAGTGAGGGGCGGGAGCTTTGGCGGCAGCTCCGGGGCGGGGAGACAAGCCCCGGAGTCGGAAGAGCTGGGTTTGCTTCCGGGCTTAGCCACCAGCTGGCCGAGTGACCTTAGGCAAATCACTCTGTAATTTGTCAGCGCCTCAGTTTCCTCCTCTGCCTATCAATGTTTGTAGGGTTGAAAGCGCTTTGTAAACTATAAAGCGTCGGTGTACGTAAGGGATGATTATTATTTGTAATGGGGTTTTTTTTGAGTTGTAAAAAAAGTTAGCAATTGCCCAGTTCTTGGATTTTGAACCTGGGAACCTTGGATTGGAGTTGGAAGCCCCCAAGTTCCCCCGAAATTGTATGCAGAAATAGTGGGAGTGTGCATTTGGGGGAATGAGGATCCATCGCCAGCAAGTTTTCAAAGGGGGGCTGTGACCCAGAAGAGTTAAGAACTACAATTCCGTAATGCCACGAGGAGGAAACTGAGGCCTGGATGTCATTTGGGACCCTTCACAACCGATTTGAAGCCCCTGTTAGGATCCCTGGGATATGTGAGCTGTTTCTATGCATAATGGATATTTGGGGTAACAACACTCCACTGCTTGGCTTCTATTCTGAGTCCTTTCCTTTTACCATGGGGTGCCTGAACGCTGGCTGACGTGTATGGTATGGTTTATGGCACGCAATATAAAGCAGCTGAAACTAGAAATGGATGTGTTCCCTAGTATCGAGAAACCTATTTAATCCTTGGCCCAGCAACTCTTGTTTTTCTGCTGCTTATACTGGTGCCTGACTACCTTTCCCTTTCATTGACCATTTTCCACGACCATGGTTGCCATCCATTACTTGCTTCTATTGTATATCTTTAGTCTCTGCGGTTGGTAGTGAGCAGGCTTATTTTTAAATGGTGCTGCCGAGTCCAGCTAATTAATGGTGCAGGTGGATTTTTAGCAAGCTGGCTCACTGGAACAGACTAAACCAGGCATGGAATTCTTGAAGATGTTTGGGGGCTTATCTTTATTAATTGAAGGTTAGCATTCTCTGAAATTTTGTTATGACTTTGGCTGAACTTCAAAATCAGTAGATTTGGAAGTGTTTCAGTGCTTACTTTTTTCCTGGCCTGCTTTGTATTCTATTTGCTTGCAAGTGTGTTACTAAGATGGCCAAGATGCCAGTTATTGCTTCTTTGTTAATTGTCAGCTGCTTTTATCAAATTCCAGGCCATTATCCAGCAAACACTATAGAAATGTTTGAACAGTTGTATTTCAAACATTTTCTCTTTGTGGAGTGGTGCTTACCAGTGGTACAGCTCTAAGCAAGTGAACATAAATACATATAAGTGTATTTCGTCTGGTTAGGTGTTCACCTGTTTTGTTATTTCATACAAATGTCTGAGAAAATCAGTTGACTATTCCTTTTACGTAAAGGGCAGAGACAAATGATCTCACTTCCAGAGAAAGGACTGTTGTAGAGAAAAATGTGTTGGTCTTTTAGCTCCTTTGTTATCTGGATGTACCTCAAAAGAATCTTAAGACTGTGGTGATCTTATAAGATGCTTTCCTCAGGAGAAAAGAGGAAAAAAAACAACTGGAACTCAAAGCTTGAAATTCTGTAACAAAACATGAGATGTCCAGGATAGGAGGCCGAAAAGATTTCACTACAGTGTTCTGCACTAGCTGCAGCAGATGCTTTTCTGTGTAGCCACGGCATGGACTCCCGATTTCCAGATTTTCAAGAACTGCACCTGGGACCTGAAGAGCTCGTCAGGATGTGACAGGGACTCTGGAGCTGAACATACTTGTTTTTGAATCTGGGGGCTGTTGACCTTGATTTGAGAAGAGACAACAATGGAGCAAGCACTGCCACCAGCGCTATTACTGGGAATTTGAAGACCTGAGTCTCTGCCAGAGCTTCATTGCAAGTTCTAGTGACGCTCCATCCAAAGTGAACTACGGTACTTGCTATTTTCCAAAATGCCTTATTCTTACATCTCTGCACTTACGTTCATGCTCTCTTCTCTACCCTGGAATGCTCTCCTCTGGTTCTTCACCTGTCAGAACAATGCCATTTCTTCAATATTCAAGTCAGATATTCTCTTCTTCATGAGTCTCCCTAACTTTATCTTTTTTTTTTTTTGAGTATTATATCATGTTGTTTACCTCTTAGCTCTCTATGCAGAGCACACCTCGTAGTCATTTGCAAGCATTTGCTCTCTTTCCAGATAGTAAGCCCTTGAAAGCAAAGGCTTTAAGAGTCTTTGCTGCACATACTACTATATGTAATGAAGCATTTCATAGAAAGGAGTAATTTAGAGACTAGGCTATCTCAGAATAAACATTTAGTAAGCATTTGTTTAATTGCTGTGTGGTTGTCTAATTACTCTTGATTAGGCAAAAGATCACTAGTATGGGCCATGTTTCTGTGTTTCATGTATTTCTTTTTTTTAATTCTAAGTTTTAAAAGATTTAGGGAGCCCTCAAACATGGAAGAGAAACTGATACGTTGCATAGGGTATTTAACAGAAGGATGCAAAGAACAGTGCCTTATTTCCCAAGTACCTTATTCTCTACCACTCAAGATGGCATCTTGTTAAAATGAAAGTAAAAGCTTTTGAAAGCGCAAGGTCCTGAAATAATTTGAGCAAGGCATTGGAAAAGGAAGAAGGACAAAATCTAGGTTCGTGTTCTATGTAAATTTAAATTCAGTTCTTGTGCTATCCATGGAGCCACTTCTTCCCCCTCGCCCCCCATCAACCACTGCCCAACAGCCTGAATACAGTCACATTACTCCCCCAGAATATGCGACTTAAGGCAGTTCCTTGTTTGCTGCTTTCCTAAGACAGTTTGTTCTCAAGAGTCAGGAAGCAGTCCCTGCCAGAGAACTGTTTCTGTTCTTATCATCACTAATTGTTAATTAGAAGGCTTTTTTTTAAAAAATTATTATTATTCCCCATTTTCCCATCTGTCAGCTTTTTAGCTAGGCTTACTGAGAATTAGTACCCATCCAGCAGCTGATAATCCTGACAGTAGACCCACTCTAGTGTTAGGAGTCCTGTGTTTGTAATTCTGTGCATTTGTTATCTTACCTGTTTTGTTCCTATCCCTTCCAGTCCTGTGCCTCCTGATGGCTGAGTGTTCACCTGGACCTTCTGACCACCTTCCTTGTACTGTTCCATCAGCCTATAGATCTGGTACCTGGATTTTTGCCCATGGTGATTCCTTCACCTTACTGCTGAAGAAGACACCATTCCAGTGGACCATGGTGATCCAAGAGGCATTCAACCATCATGATGTGGCCTTCATCTCCACTCCTGTCGTGTTCTACCCAGATTCAGCACAGCCCTTTATAGTGAAGTCAAACTATTCAAGCCAGATAGCTGAAGCTATTTTATCACAGCAAAAGGCCCAGTTTGTTCCATGAGTGTGCATTTCGTTTCTTCAATTAAAGCCTTCAGAGACACATAATAAATTTGGACCAGGGGATTTTTAGTTATCAACACTGAAGAATGGTAACATCTTTCAAGAACGACGTTGGATCATACCCCACAATTTCGAATGATTGAAATTCGTGAAGTGTCTAGGGTCCTATCCAGATCACGGGACCCTATTCTTTTTCAACTTCAAGTCTGTAGTAGCCTACTGAATAGAAAGCAGATATTCTGACCAGCAGATACTGGAATTAAAACAAAGGCACAGTGAACTCAGCATCTTTGGGATTACTCAGGAACCAGAACTTTTCACACAAATCTAAGAAATTCTACCAAGGAATCCCTTTATCTAACAGCATCTCACAAAGCTCCAATCAGATTCCAGAAAAGTCCTCTTGATACATCCAGGTAGAACCTATCATGGTAATCCCTTATGTTTATATAGCACTTTATAGTTTCAAAGCACTTTTACATGCATAAATCTCAATTATCAAAACAACACAATAGATTATAATTTCTTTTTGCAAATGAGGAAATTGAAGTTTAAAGGTTATCCAAGGTGACATAGCTACGAAGTGATAAAGGTCAGGCCTTCTGACTCCCAGTCCAGTTCTCTCCATGGAATTAATTTAGCCTCTACTTTACCTGCAGTGTTAAAATGACTGGAGTTTGGTAACCCCAGAAAAGTTTCCCACTTCCTGATCTGGTGCCCTCAGTCAGTCAGGATGTCATAAGTGTAATTTTATGATGGCTCCATCTAAGCCAGAATTCTGTGGCACTACCCCTAAGGTTTAAGAGCAGACTGTCTCCTTAGTGGTAGATTTATCCAGTCAACATGGCACATGGTCATCTGACAGTAAGACTACACAACATGAAACACAAAGCTACTTCTAGATCCGTTGTTCACAGTCTTCTCACATTCCCAAATGGCCTGATTGGAAATCCCTTTTCATGTTTTGTTCTTTGTAAAATTTTTAAAAAAGTTTTATTAGTACTCTTGGACCCTGAGATCTTATCTAAGGTCTTCTATCCCTCAAAATTTACTTAAAATGGATCCTCCATTTCTTTAGAGCAGTGCTGTTCACATATGTGTATGTATGCATGTATATGATGCATGCATACAACATCTATATGTAGAGCTTGTGTAGTCTTGTAAGGTGGTAAAATACGTGTTCCCTTCCCAATTGAGTGTAGCATATTAAAGAATCTCAGAAGACTTGCAACAAAGAGCCTCATTGAGATATTTAGCCTAGTGTGTAGTAAGTTTAATCATGGACAGACTGTTCTTTTGGGAGCATTCCTTTTAATAGAGAAACTGCTTTGGAGCAGTATAGCCAGTGCTTCCTGATTGCCCTGAAGACTCAGGAGTAAACGGAATCTTTGAAACCACCACCCTCTTTTCTTACTTTTGTCAGTAACTGCTTGAATTTGTATGTCTTTATCATCTGAGAGTCCTACATCTTGACCGTTACCTCTTATTTTCTGTGAAAGGAACCTCTAGAAGGTTTGTGGGGATATGTGGGAAGAGAATGGGGAAAAGTTTATTTTGCCCCCAAATTGGTTGAATTCCATGACATTTAACAACATATTTTTCTGTCCCTAAAATTGTGCTGTAAACCTAGTTTAAGGGCATTGTATCTCAGGTGGGTGAGGAGATTGGGAAGGGAAGGGAGGAGGAAAAGGATGGTGGGAGAAAAGGGGGAGGAGAATAATATTTTCATAGAATTTGAGTTGTGGCCCATTGAGATCTTCAAAGATCTTGAAGAGAAGTTATCTAGCCATGGACTTGGGATAATACTTGCAAAGAAATGAAAGCATTTTGCAGCTGTATGCTGACTGCAAAAATCCCAGTGCTATTGTCACTTAAAACCAATAGCCCTGTTCACTGATAGTCACAAACCCAATTTGAGGCAGTCAGAATTTATAGCAGAGTTGAATGTTAACTTCATCATTCTGTAATGTGGTCCGTATTAAGGAAAGAATGAATAGGAAAACACCTTGGCTTACCACAGGCTTTGCTCACAGTTTCTGGTTTCTGTGACCTATTTTTTGTATTTCAGCATTTTGTGAACAACTTATTCTTAGATCATTGGTTTTCCAAAGGCTTTGTGACCATGAAGCCCTTTCAATGAAAACTATGTGGAAACCCAGAATAAAAGAGAAGCTGCTGTAGATGAAGCAGGAGTGGGGGGCCTGAAACCTGCCACAAGCATCTTCCTTTACCACCATGGTGACCCCTAAGGAGACTTCTTTACAACACCTAGAATTCTTCAGAACACAGTTTGAAAACCACTGCCCTAGACAACATGTGCAACCTGAATGGCATTCTGATCTGTACCTCTACCCAACCCAGTCCATGTTCAGTCGATGCTGCACATTCTTAGGAATGCTTACTGTGGGCAAAGTCAGAAAAGTGCAAGAAGATGGGCATATCTTTGCCACCCCAGGGTAGTCAAGTGGGCTGAAAGTGGTATCAAATGGACCTAGATTAACAGCCCTGTACCCCCAGATGGATTTCAAATGAGTGATTCCTGGCATTCAATATAGTCAGAGAGCAATGCATATGTACTCTACACTGACACACTCCCTTACCCAACTTCTATCACAAACACCACATGCTCTAGTGGTACTTGAAATACATAACTTTGAAGTCTTGATCTCCTTGGATACCTGAATCGCCAGGTATTGAAGCTGGTACTAAAGTTGATGATGCCTCGTTGAGGCCATATAAGACCAACTTGTACATTGGACCTCCCATCATCAGCCATGGTACTCTACTTCGTGTGCAAGGGATAACCATTAACTATGAAAGCAGAACTGAAATTCTGGCAACATTACCTAAAAAGGTACCCGGTTACTCATGTTATTCTCAAAACTGCAAGTCACTATGACTCAACCAGTGGCAGTTACACTGCTCCTTGGTTTTTATTCAGTTTAACTGCTGTTTCCAGGATAAATGAGGTAATAACCTTAAAAAACAAAATTTCCTCCATCACTGGCATATCTGCTCCAAAATTATGAATATTCTGCTCTAACTACAGGTAACATCTGGTCCACAAGAGACAATTTTTGAACATCCTCTGATGTATGTGATTTTAAATGTGACCCTTTGGAAGATTTTCTTCTAACCAATGAGAGATGTTCTTTTATGATGGACCTTTTGATGTCAGGTACCATCAACTACAGGTGTTAGGATTATTTGGAGGTAGACCTTTTGACCAGGCCATGGAGCTTGCTTGCTGGGCATCTCAAGTTGCATATCTACCTTTTTGCTGAAAATGTAGACTGACTTGAAAAAAAATCTACAAAGCCTGCAGCTAAGAATTTTATCAGTAGACTCAAGAGCTTCCTGCAGCTTCTTCCTAATGTCACAAGACCACAGTGTCTTGTCCTTGTGGATATTTTAATGGAATTTCATCTGTCTCAATATTGTTTTACACTGATTCAGAGTGGCTGACTTCATTCCTTGCTATGAGATACTCTCAGGCATTAAGACACTTATCTGTTTCTGCAGGATGGATTCAATTCATGAACTCCCAGACCAGATCATGTCAAACAAGTAGACTTCGATTTTTGTCATGAGAAAAATCTCATTCTCTTACTTCACAGTCTACTTAAGGGGCAGCTGTCCTCAACTACTTTAATGAATGCACTGGTTAAATGTTGGGAATGATTTCTTTGTATCTTTGTCTCTTACTCTTTAGACTAACCCTGATTACATGACTCTGTCTACAAATCATCAAACAAGGCCTGCACATCCTCAACTAATAAAAATCTAATGACTAGCTGCTTGTATATACAACTATTGTTTGTTAATAAGAAGTTATCTACAGACTCCATTTTTCTACTACCTTCAAAACATCAGCTCAATTTTCTCTTTCTCCTGTACATTACAGAAAAAGACATTGGTCTACACTGCCAGTCATTCCCTTTAATCCTGTCAAATGCAGTCAAAATGAGGGGCTTAAAGTGAGGATGATCATCTGTTCAAGAGTCTAATATGCTCTGTGTATAAGAATTGATAGTTGAAAATGCAGAAAGCCTAAAACTGAAACCTAGGATCTTACCTACTATCTCCCTGCTTGAGATCTCAATATAAGTCTCAGCAGCACCACCCACCGATCTAAGGCCTTGTTTTTAAGCTGATTCTCAGAGATGGACTGAGTTTCAGAAGGTGGAGACTTGATTACCAAAGAGAGTAGGGCCAACCTTGATGAATCTGGCTCTCCCAACCATGTCATTCCCAGATGTAGCATAGACTCCTCAACAGAACCTCAAGTCTGAATTGAGAATATAGCCTACTGAGCTGAAAGTTCCTGGGCAGATAAACAGGAAAATTAAAGCTGCTATACCTGACTGGCCCTTTAAGATCAGAAAATGGTATCCAGAGTCAACCCTATGGAATAACCCTGGAGGACTCAGGGTAAAAGCTAATTTACAGAGCCTTGATATTAATCTGCCCATTCTTCCAGATCACATCCTGGCTATTGGTGTGGCTAGCCCTGCTGAAGGTACTCTATTTACCTGTTTACCTGACTCAGCCCTCGTCTGCCTTTTTTGACACGTTGCAATCAGACCGGCTGTGCTTGAGAAGACTACAACTGGTATCAGCCTATCTTACACCCAGTTCCACCAGGGAATTTTGAACAGAAGCAACCTGCACCTCACCTCCCCCCCAGCCCCCAGGACTTACTGTTCATAACTGGAAGGACCATGCTATGTACTCCTTGACCAGCAGCCTTTTTGTTTTGTTTTGTTTTGTTTTTAATGCAGAGTAAGCCTCTATGCCTATATATATTTGATCATTTTCAGCACCTGAGATCCTTTCCACCCAGTCTGAAGGAGTACAGCAGATTACAAGCTCTGTCCATTCCTCTCTTCTGCAATAATACAGAGATGACAGAAATGTTCCAGTTCAACTTGGCGAAAGACTAAAGAAACACAAGAGCTTTCCACTGAACTTAAAATTTACCACTGACTTCAGTAGTCTCACAGAACTATTTGCCAGTGGGAGGCTAGTTGTCCTGCTTCATGTCAGCAAGATGGTTGGGCTGTCAGATTCATGGCCACTGAGTTTTACTTTTATTGAAACTTTATTGCATCATCCAAAGTATGCTATTGGATATGATTATTCCATTCAAATGGATTACAAGCTTCCTGAGTACAGGACAAACTTACTCATGACGTTTTTTCAGAATTCTTTTATTGTCAAGAAAGTAACAATGCCAGCTGTTACTGAACACAGACTAAACTTTTTTAGTATCTGGTCTTATCATTGCATCAGTTGTTTTTGACCAGCATTCATTCCATCTCATTGTAACAACTCTGATGTTTCTTGGAACCACTTCCCTGTTTCTAGTCCACATGGTTCAAACAGTCTGGCCTAACTTTAAGCTTCTTGGGTGGACATGTAATTCAGACCTGATCAATCAGCGTGGTCCATCTCCTTCACCATAGTAATTGGTTCTGGAATGGCCGTGTGATTAAAGCTGGTCCAGTGATACTCAGCCCTAGGAGTTTTACGGAACTGTGGAGGAGAGGCTCAGGAGCTCTCTTTACTGAGATTACTTGACTTTGTAGTATGAAAAGTTCTAACCAACAGGGCCCACCCTATCAAATGAGCCAGAGAATGAAGCCAGTACAAAGGAAAGCAGAGCCAAATGATGGAGAGACTTGAGTCCTGATGACAATGTTTATGCCCCTGGATCCAACCGTGCCTGAAGCTAGTTTATCCCTATGGACTTTTCAGTTATGTGAGCCAATAAATACCCTTTTTTGCTTTAAGTTACTTTGAGTTGGGTTTCTATTGTTTAAAATTGAGTCAGCCCTGACTAAATACTATCTACCAATATCAAAACTTGACAAATCCAAATATTTATTAAACTAGAGGTCATGGCCACACTGAAATTTATTTTCCATGCCAGAAGACAAAGTGAAACAAGAAGTGACAATGTTTAAGTTACTACAGAAGCATAAAAATTACATGGTAGAAAAATATAGAGGAAAACCTAAGTGTTTATCCATAAAGGATTGTTGAATAATATATGGTTCAGCCATATAAGGAAATCTACATGTCTGTTAAAATTAATAAAGTACATGTATTGTGTATGGACATGGGAAAATGGCCATGATATAGTAAGTGAAACTATTAATAGAAAAATGTATAGTGTGAACTCACTTAAAAATTTGTGTTTATGATGCATAGAAAAGTCTACTAATGGCTTTCTTCGAATAGTGTAGATTACATGAGACTTTCAACTTTATACATTTCTGTATTTGAATATTTTACACTACTCACATTACTTTTAAACTTTATTTAAAATAAAAGAATTTTAAAAATTAAATTTATTGCTTATTGTTTGACTCTGGCAAGTTACTTACCACCAAGCCTATTTTGTCAAATAATATGAAATACCTATCTTCATGTTAGTGAATATTTAGATAAATATATTCATCATCCAGTACTGAAACTGACAAGGTCATTGTACCTTGTTTGAGGAACTCAGAATTCAGTAATTGTTTTTTTTTTAATTATCCAAGCCTATCTCTTTAAATGAGTGTATTTGGGCTATCAGGATATCATAGTATCAGTGTTCATCAGTGATTCACCAGTTCTTAACTGATACTGATCTACTAAGGCCTATTGCAGTGTTCACACTGGGTAGGTAGAAGGGGGGGAAAATCACATTTTCTTTGAAATCCTTGGTTATTCTTACCTCACTACAGTCAAGTTCGATAGTGGCCTTTTTATTGCAAAGTCCAGTACATGTACCTCTTCCGTGAACTTCCAGCAGACTGCTCCCAACACACCTTGGCACTCTTTTTTCCCTTAGGTGTTGTGACATTTCTCATTTTCTTCCTGCCTTTCTGGCTATGCTCCACTGTAGATACTTTTTTTCTCCCCATCATTTAAATATTAGTATAATGGTCATCCATTGATTTTTGTCTCCCCTGAGTCATTTCTCCTTTCCTTTAGTGATAGATCCCCACTTTGGGATGACTTTTGAGTCTTAGGTGACCCAAAATCAGGAGCCGGGTCATTCTGATGGTAGTGTTCCAAGGAAACTCTATCAGAATTGGTGCAAGGACATCCCTCTTGGTTCCCTGGTTCCTGTTGTCAAGGCCCAGCTATCCCAAGTTTTACTTTGATTTTTATAGACCCCCATGTATCCATAAAATATGTTCCCTTTTCATTTGTTAGCTAAAGCAGGTTTGTATTGCTTGCATCCAAATTACTGAATGATAACAGGAATTGATACCAGGGAATTAAGCTTCAGACCCTGAGGAACATGGAAGATCTGGAACTGAGACTGAAATACAAGCAGCAAAAACTTGCTCTGTGTCCCAGGGTGGGGGAAATGAGCAATTCTTACTGGCAAAGGAGCCAGTACAGGTACTTCCCCCTTGTCATTTGGAAGCATGTGCCTAGTGACAGCAAAATTTGGATAACCAGGTAGCTGTTGACAATAGAACAATTTTAAATGGATAAGAAAGCTGTTCTACTGGCAGTGTCTTTTCACTAATGTATACAGGTGTGTTGGTGATGGTTAAATATGCCAGCAGATGCATAAGTTGTACATTTCAAGGCACACCTTAGTTTAATAACTGAAGGAGACTATCACCCAGAAATCTTAGGTTTGACACTGAATGTGATACATGGAAATTATTTTTAAGTTCTCTCCTGGGGGAGAAGAATCCATTTTCTACAGTATATTGAATGGAAACATTTATAAAATTATTCATGTTGAAGAATGCATGTTCTGGACAGCCAAAGGATGTAACATAATGGACAGCTATATTCATCTGCCCAGTGCCTTTTTCCTCCTTTGAAAGCAGCACTTCACCTTCCCTTTGGGAAACTGCCCTTCTCCCATGCTACCAGAAAATAATTTGTAAGGAGCATATGAGTTCATGTTACTGAGACTTCCTCAGTTGCCCAGATTTCCTGATTTTCTTGAATGTTAAGCTTCTCTAATTCTTGGCAACTGCCTTATTATATCCTTCCAATAAATTCCATTGGCCGTACAGGCTGTTACATATGGCTGCGAAAGATATCCCTGTATAACCATATGCAGAGGCCCTTGTAGCCAGGGTCAATTTTTGTTGCTTACAGTCAGAGAACCCCAAGTGAATCAGTGCCCCTCCTATGTCTTGGGCTTTCTTGCCCTACTCTGAAAAATCTCAATTTCCATGGCTTTGGTGTCCAACTATATGTTGATAACTTCCAGAGTCCTATTCTTAGCCCAGATGTATTTCCTGAGCTCTAGATCTGAAAGTCCACCTGGCATTTGGATGTCCCTCTGCTTGATGAACACACAGATACTTCACACTGACCCCATCATTTTCCCCCTCAAAATCTGCTCTTCTAGTGTTCTGTTCTTGATAAATGGCACCACCCTCCACCCTGTTTCTCAAACCAGAACACAGGAATTATTCTTGTCAATTCCTTCTCCCCTGTCACCCCAGACATCCCTGTTAGTCATTAAACTCTCTTGGTGTATCATGTAAATAAATACACCTTAAAACTGTCTGCTTCTATCATCCTTGTCCAATGTATCTATTGCTAGGACTACTGTGATGCCATTCTAGTGTCACTGTCTCTGCTGTTGTCCTACTATAGTCTGTTCTTTACAGAGCAGCTGGAGTAATCTTTGATACGCAGATCTGATTGAGTCACTCCCTGCCTAAAACCTTTTAATGGTTCTCCAATTGTTTCAGAATAAAATCTCAATTTTTATTCTGGAACTTTATCCATGTTTACAAGGCTTTTTGTTATCTTAAGCCT